CGTCATTGTAATATGTCTAAATATTTTTTTTTTTTTTAGTGTAAATCTCAAAATCATTATTTGTCTGATCAAAACTCATAACATGGAGGTAAAATCAAACTCTGTTAGATGCCTTTGCTGTCCCTGTTGTTTTCAGAGTTTGATCAGCAGAACCCCAGGGGATTCTGGAGATTCCTTCAGCTCTCACAATACTATGATCATTTACACATGCCTCTTTCTTTCACTCTTCACTCTTTGCTCTTTTCTGTTGCTAACAAACACTTGAAACTCTAAAGCCCTAATCCTCTGTTGATGTCAACCCAACAGGCAGCAAGGAAGCGCAAGATCTCCATCCTGCGAGCACAGGGCAAAAGCAGTGAGGCCATCCGCGAGCTCAACGAATATCTGGAGCAGTGAGTGTTTTACAAGAGGATTTAGACCCCCCTTCCCCTCCACTTGTTAATTAAAAGGGGTTTTGCATTTGATTCAGTTGGCCCCCCAAGCCTTTCCCTGACCCCCCTTTTGTCCACAGTGGCCTTTCTGATGTGCTAACTACCACTACTCTGTCCTGCAGGTTTGTGGGAGACCAGGAAGCTTGGCATGAGCTGTCAGAACTCTACATCAATGAGCATGAGTAATGATTTCTTTCCTAATTTATTTTGTTGATTCTTTTTTTTTATATATATACTTATAAGAAGTTGATAAAACGTGATTGTTAATTAAATTGTCAAACTGACATACAGAAACAATGTAACTAGAACGTGTACACGTTTCTGGAAAAAAAGAAAACAAATATATATATATTTTATATATTATGGCAAAACAAGGAAAAGGCATTCTATAATATCTGCCTACTGGGTTTCAGTTAGCTCAAAAGAATTAATTATAGGAATCTGATGGAAAATACAAGATTAATTTTAACACATGTTAAAACCGTAAGTAAAATAAACATAAAAACAGTAGTTAATTCAGTCAGAATGTCAGTGTTAATGCTTTTTTTCACCATTTCAGTTGTTGGATGTTATTAGAGATTTTTCTTTTGATTTATCAGTATCAGTCAATATTGGATATTTAATTGTGCCTGCTATTTTTCCTATTTTTTGCACTTAAGATTGCTCACTTGAAGTTAATCTTTTTGAAAACATTAATAATTTAATAACACTGTTAAATGTAATCTTTAGCAAATCTAAAAATAATTTATTATTTTTTCATACTCTACATTATATTGTTTGATGTCTTAAATTCCCTTGTAGCATTTAAAATAATGGATTTTATTTTTCTAGTGTTTTAATTTTAATTTATTTAGACAAAATAGTATTGAATGTTTTATATCTGCCATTTATCAGTTGTGATATCAGTTATCAGTAACACAAAAATATTTATCAACTTGTTTGGAATTTCCTAGAATTTGAAAATGTCAGTGAATCCCTACTGAAAATAAATAATTTTGAAACTGTTAGCATTATAAATACCAACAAATTGACTTTAGTGTGTTGTTTAGTTTTCAGATTGACTGCATTGAGTGTATTGTTACACAGTGTAGAAACTGGCATCTTTCTCATGAATGGCAAGAATGAAGAGGCAGCATATTCATGAGTTTTTCCTACCTTAACTATAAATGTAATTTTGTCTCATCAGAATAATTTAATCAGCTAAAAGTGATTAATCAGTTACCAATGCATTAGTAAAATGTCCAAAAGTTGTCCGTATGGAATGTGATGTTTAAGAGGGTTACAAGGTCGCATTCACCAGCATCTTGCAGGTCATTCTCAGGACCTTCGGCTGATGTGCGACGGTTGCTGCAGAGCTGTGGGACCCTCTGGAGTAAAAGACAGTGAAATGCCAGTCTCAGCCAGGGGCCTTGCTTAAAGCTCCGTGTCTGTTTGTCCTATGGAGTAGGGCCATAATAGGATTTGTTTCTTGAGCCCCCTGTCCAACTCCAGGAATAAGACTGCACTCCCCTGCTGATATCTCTTTTGCCAGGGGTTTCTTTCTGCCAAGCATCAGGATTGTAGGAAACTTACTTTATGTCTCCTCTCCTCCATCCTTCTTTAATTGTTTTGGTCTTATTTTCCATGAGGGGGGCTAAGGGGTGTTAGTATGTGGGTGTGAGAGAGAAAAAAGTTGGTTGTCGTGGTCGGAGGGCACTGGCTGTAGGAATGCAGTTGCTCTGTGAGAGCACCGCTTATTAGATACCTCACGGTTTTGTGTAAAGGGCTTTATTGCTGTAGCAGACAGAGGAAATCCAGGGGTGAGAGGATTATCTGCCCGCTTAGCCCAACTTTTCTAATATCACACCATTCTCTGACAACCCCCTATCTATAGGCGTGTCAGTGTCACTCCTTTTCTTTCTTCCCCTTTCTTTTTCTTCTCTTTATTTCAGGTCACAGACTCGCTTTTTCGCTTCCCCTCCTCTTCCGGCAAAGCCTTCATTATCACATCTCTCTTCCACGCTGTGAAAGAACAGGAAAAAGGGGAAAAAGAGAAATTCCCAAGAGAATGAGGTGGCACCCATTCTCCCAACCAGTCAAAACAAGATGAAGACAAACAAACGCCACCCTACCAGCTGATTACACAGCTATGACGGATTACACAGCTATCTACACGAAGTCCGTAGTACAAATAGGCCACTAGTGGGCCATGCTTTTTAATGACGATTAAACCAATTATCACTTTGGTAAAGAAATATATCAAAGTGGTTTCTTTGGTGAATTATGTGCTAGGTGTAGGTTGCGATCTGTAGAACTAGCTGGTCTTAAGTGAGCTTTTTAAACCTCAAAATGTAAATTTATATTTCCCACCCAGTGTGGCTTTATATCTCAAAATGTGACTTGACTTATCTTACCATGATGCTTTAAACGTTATCTACAATTTAAAATCACATTGTGAAATATAAAGTTAGCGTTTTGGGATTTAAAGTAAAAATTGTGGGATGTACAGACAACTTTTGACAAAATCAAATAAAAAAGTTTGTTTTTTTCCCTACCCGAGACAGAAACATGCTTTCATATTTCAAATGGAGAACTGGTAGAGTTGGCCGTGTATAATGAATGCTCAGGTAGTGGGCGTTGAGTTCAGTAGTGATGTGGATTGATGCCTCCCTTGCTTTCTCTGCGTGTGTCTCTCTCTCTCTCACTCTTTGCATTGCTCCGCCACAGTTTAGGCCATGGTAGAAGCACATCTGAAAGTCTTTACGAAGAGGAAATGGTAATTGCAAGCAGTCTTCAACCTTCTGAGTGGCCTGATCTCACTGGCTCACTCCTCCAACCTCTTTGACTGTCTGTGTTGTTCTCTCACTCTCATTCTCCTCTCTTTGTATTCAAAGTCCCTTGAACATTTCCTAAAAGGCTAGATAGACTCATCATCTTGTGCGAGTCAGCAACGCCAACAGTCTTTTTCCACCAGAAAGAAAATCTTGTTTGCGTCAACACGTTTTTATTTCTGCCAGTCGTAAGATTAGCATGGACGTGCTCCAGCTCTGTTATACAATTTGATGTGTTGTGATAAGTTGATATATGTGCGTGAGCACGTACAGTGTGGGCCTCAATGTGTGGAGACAGAAAGTTTGCTAACAGTAGCTAAAAAAGCCATGCGGCTTTGGGGACTTGAGGCGGTAACGAGCCTTTCAACCCCATCCACAGCTTTTGGACACATTTGGCTCATTTTTGTGTCTTGCGGCTTTGTCGCAATAGTCCTGAAGTTCTTTTTGAAATTGTTTGTTTTTTTGGTGGGAGCATTGGGAAAATGTGCAGGCCCATGTTGTGTACTTATAAGGGAGAGAGTGTCTGAGACATGAAACTGTAAATTAGTGTGAGGTCAACGGCTTGGCAGTGATCTCATTTGGGAACTGCTCTTGAGAATGACCTTAGGACAGTCTTGAGATGTCAATGAAGAACCCAGGGACAGATTGGTAGACCAGATTCATCTTTGGCCTTCTAGAAAAGAGGCCATGGTGAATCTAGGGCAGAATTGCCACCTCTGTTGCAAAGCTTCACTCATCATTTGACCATATGGGTGTTCATACACAGATTTCCATTAACCCTCATAAAAGCTGATGAAAGGGAAACCTCAGACTGTCACATCTCCCGACTGTCAACGGGACCGAGCTTGCATTTGCTTAATCAGCCACAAAGCTACTGGGAGATGTTTTCTATGTTCTCCATTTTTCTCTCTCTCTCTTGTTTCATTCCCACAGTTATGCAAAAGCTGCTTTTTGTCTTGAAGAGCTGATGATGACGAATCCACATAATCACCTGTACTGCGAACAGTATGCCGAGGTATAGTAGCTTTCTCTCTTCCTGCCTGAAATAAATGTTCCTTTCAATTTAAGGTGATTTTTTTTTTTAAATAAACATTTTAAGCATTCTTTCAGAAAAATGTTTAATTGTGCCATTTGAAGCAATACATTTTAAATTGTTGAAATGTAATTATGCCTTCGCTAAAGATAAGAAAATACACAAAAAATACACAAACTTAGGAGTGGGCGATCTTCCCAAAATATATCATATCACGATTTTATAACTCACGATCCATGATCTGAATCATGATCTTCCCAATTTTGAGATGTACTATTGTAGCTTTCTCTCTTCCTGCCTGAAATAAATGTTCCTTTCAATTTAAGGTGATTTTTTTTTTAAATAAACATTTTAAGCATTCTTTCAGAAAAATGTTTAATTGTGCCATTTGAAGCAATACATTTTAAATTGTTGAAATGTAATTATGCCTTCGCTAAAGATAAGAAAATACACAAAAAATACACAAACTTAGGAGTGGGCGATCTTCCCAAAATATATCATATCACGATTTTATAACTCACGATCCATGATCTGAATCATGATCTTCCCAATTTTGAGATGTACTATTGAGAATATCCAGACTAGGAACAAGCCTATGACTTATCTATTTGCATAATTAAAAAAAAAAAAAAAACAGTAACGTTTTTGTATTAAAGGGTTACTCCACCCCAAAATGAAAATGTTGTCATTAATCGCTTACCCCCATGTCATTGCAAACCCGTAAAAGCTCCGTTCGTCATTTTGGATGAAAACCGGGAGGCTTGTGACTGTCCCATTGACTGCCAAGTAAATAACACTGTCAAGGCCCAGAAAAGTATGAAAGACATCGTCAAAATAGTTCATCTGCCATCAGTGGTTCAATCTGAATTTCATGAAGCGACGAGAATACTTTTTGTACGCAAAGAAAACAAAAAATAACGACTTTATTCAACAATTCGTCTCCTCCGTAGCGCCATTTTGGAGAGTATCCACTGAACTCAAACTGCGTATACTGTTCTGTGTCAGCCGCACCACACGGATACGCTGTTTTCGTTCAAATCAAAGTGTAAATAAACTTAGAAAATGTATCCGTGTGGTGCGGCTGACACAGACAAGTAGAACAGTAAACGCAGTTGTCAAATTGACAATCAATTGTCAAAAGGGTCTTTAAAACCAGAGTTAAACTTTAAAACACTGTATGAATTAAATATACACGATTCTGATTCTGATATATATGATTCTTATTAAAGTTATAAAGTGATTCAGTCAAGAGCAGTGAGTGATTTTCTGTGTTTTGACACCGACAGCAGTAGGTTTATTAGGCTGCTGTCTCTTTAAGACAAAATGCATGGATGTAATATACTACTGACACACATCCGATTTCTTTCCCAATTGTTTGTTCATTTAAGACTTAACTGACTTTACGTAAATACTCGCAAAGACAGACATTTTTTGACATATTTTTGTGTGCATTTGACGGTTTAAGTATACTTTGCTCTTCCGTGTTTTGCTCCGTGTCGGAGTGCGCACACAAAACGTATCTGAGGAACAGGCTCTTTCACAGTTAATGTGCTTTTAATAACTAAAATAAAGCATGTCCCACAGTAAACTGCCTTTTACGACAGTTGCGTTACATAATTTGACTGATTTAGGTGTTAAGCTCTTAAGGACAGGCAAAAGCACACCACTATAAATGGAAGGAATGGCATGTGGCACAATGATCGTTTTATTAAGATTAAAACTGAAACTAAAATTTAATTCATCACACTACTACTTTTAAGTCATGGCGAATACGTCACCATGCATGAAAAAAGCCATAATAGAGATGACACATGATGTAACTTGGCCAGTCACAGTCATGTAGTAGGCAGTTATTGCTGTAGTTTTAACATTATTACAAGAACATAAAAGATCACGATCTCTGCGATTCACTTAAAAAGATGATCGTGGACATTTTCAAGATCGATCACAATATTAAATCATCAGATCGCCCACCCTTACACAAACTATTAAGTTGTATTTTTATTTTTTTGTGAATGATCTTCTGTTTGAATATGTTTGTATATTTTGATCTCAAAATTTACTGTTAAAATAGATAAAAAGTTGCAGCATTTTTGTTGATGGGTTTTGAAAGAAGTCTATATACAGACATAAAAGTTGGCATCGGTTACTCTTATCTTAGTCATATCATTTTATATCTGCTATGTTAATCCAAGTTCTTTCCACCCCCCCCTAATCAATCTTAACCATGACCACATTTTTTCTTCCATTTAAAGGGGTTTTCCAACCCACTGTAAAATCTCATTGGTTTAACATCTTTATCCACGTGTTATTAAACATCCAGTATATTCTAGGGTTTGATTTTTGTTGCTTTGCAACATTACGCTTGTAATGTGGACAGAAAACACATCGTCCTATAAGCCAAAACTTTGGCACTTTTGCACTCTATGACTAACTGCATCCATCATGTTGTATGCTTGTATAGGATTTTCCTGTTTATTTAGATCATGTTCTGTTTATTTAGATCTCATGTCAGCTTTAAGTGTGCCTATAACACAACATCACCTTTCGGTTTCCTCTGCAATCTCCCTCAGGTAAAGTACACCCAGGGAGGTCTGGAAAACCTCGAGCTGGCCAGGAAGTATTTTGCGCAGGCACTGAAGCTTAACAACAGAAACATGAGGGCCTTGTTTGGCCTTTATATGGTAAGTTGTTCAGAAAACAGACACCTTCTATTTTTCTTTTCTCTTTTTTTTCTGCATGTGAATGGATCCCAGAGGCTGTGATTGGTTCACACAGGGGCAGTTGAAGTTGATGTTTCCAGTCCCTGTGTTGGAAAAACTCCGACCTGCAATTTTTTTTTGCTGTAACGTAACCCACCGGACCTTTGTAGGGCATTTCTCTGTTTATTTCAGAGATAAACAAACCTTTGAAAATAAAAGAATGGTAGAGAAATGGCAACCACACCATCACACGTGGCTCTGCTGGATAGGTTCAGGCAATATGTGTGCTGAATAAGCCTTTCATCTGTATTTATTTAAACAGGAAGTTGTCCATTAACACCAATGCATCATTTGTAAGTGACTCCTGACATATGAACACAAACAGCCAGCCAGGGGCAGAAGGCCGACAGAGGGGACACACAGGCCCTCTGTTCAAACATACACACACACCACACGCAAGCTTCAGTAGTTCAAACACAGAACCATGACAGTCATCAGCGCTCTTTGATGTGCGATTTGCACGTGAAACGAGGCCGGCAATAGCAGGATGTCGGTCAGTGCAACAAAACCAAGAGCCTGTTACCCGGTCATATGTAGTGAAAAACAAAAAAGTTGCAAAGTGGTTTTTTTTTTGTGTCATTGTTAACAAAAGTTGTAAAAATAATTCAAATAAGGCTAATATAGCTGAAGTAAAATAAGTTTTAAGTTAAATTACTAAAATTAGAAAAAGTAAAATAAAAATAAAGCTAAATAGAAATATATTAAAAAACAAATCAGAAAAAAATTACTAGAAAATCCAAAACGCCTGGAGAACTGGGGTAAAAAAAAAAAAAGGCTCCTGAGGGAAAACTGTGTAATCCAATGTCCCAAAAAGACTTGTGTATATATGTATTATAGTTCATTTTTCAAGATTGAAGCATTAGATTCTTTCGTTGATGAGTTTTCAGATTTTTTCTAATTAAAAAGCAATAATATGTCTTCCTGTTTTTTACATTTTTGTCTATTTAAATTCTGTTTACAAACTCACCACACACAGTAATGTACAATAACTGTCATTTCTTGAAAGCTAGTAATTTTCTGAAAAAAAAGACACCTTGCACTTGAAGATAGCACATTGTCTTATAATGGTATAGTCAAAAAACCAAAATGAGTGAAAACGGCCTATTTTAGCTTCAGGTTCTAAAGGGATAAACTTTTTTTTTTTTTTTTTAAACTGAAAAGTAAAAAAAAATAAATATATTTAAAAATATTAATAAATACTATAGTATTATATAAATAAAATAATAGCATATAAAATGTTTGAATATTTGCTTAAATTTTTCACTTGTCACTTTTAATTTTTTTTCTTGTCAGGTAAAATATTTTGATGAATAAATGACCATACTGACTAAATTCGAAGGACACTCTTGCCAAAAGACAATAAAAAAAACAGTATAAAAATGAATACAGATTGTGACTCAAGTGACCAAAAATGTTCCTTTACAGCTGCATCTCACCAACCTTACACACCCCAAACTCCAGAAGCCGAGGGATTTGCTGCCAGAAACAGAGATGAGGTTGATTGGTGTGCAGTTAAAGTTTCAGCACATCCATGGGGAAGGGCTTTCATGCTAGCCAACAGAGTCCTGCGAGCTCTGCTGAGCGGGTCTAATAGCAATAACGAGGGAAAGATGGAGGATTTGTGGTTGTGGAATGGAGATCTTGTAGTGGCTGGAGAGCATGATTCACGTTGCGCTATGCCATTCACACGCCACCTCCCTGACACTCCCAGGCCTGTCAGCACTGCCTATCCTATCTCTGATGCGAGACACATCAAGCGGTGTTAACAGAGCGCCCTGGCTTTTTTCACTACTCAACCAGGCTCAAAACCATCACATTTTCCACCCTTTAAAAAATACCCTTCATTGCCATCAGGGTTTAGCCATCCTTCCATTATGTGGGCTTTAAATGGGAGTCGATGGGTATTTATCTCATGACTCTTTTTTTGACGCTTTGCAGAAATGGTGATAGTCTAATCTTTATGTGTGTCCCCCAGCACTGTGGTCCATCTCACCTTTGTTTGTTGTCTCTTCTTCCGCAGTCGGCCAGTCACATCGCTGCCAGCCCAAAAGTTAGCGCAAAGGTAAAGAAGGACAACATGAAGTACGGCGCGTGGGCCGCTTCTCAGATTAGCAGAGCCTATCAGGTAAGAGGAGTGCATGAGTTACTGGTAGAGATGGGCAGTACAACTTAAATCTCTCCACAAAATGTTTTATATTTTACATAACTGTGGTAATGTTGATTTAGTTGATCTGAATTTATCAACTGATATTGCATTTTGTTTTTTTTAAACACTTTATAAATATATTTAATGTTTTAAATATTTTGAATATATATACATATATTTTCTTACGCTATCACAAACTTACCATTGACAGAAATAGTCAGCTCTACTGCCTTTTCTTTTGCATTGAAATCTTTATTACAAGCAATTCTGCAGTTCATAAAGAACTTTTTCCTACTTCCACAAGTGGTCAATCTATTATTGCCTTGTTTATCTAAAAGTGCTCTTTCCCTTTAAACCGAGCCAAACAGCCGTATGTGTTGACTGTGAAACACAGTAGACTTTAATAGTATGCATTTATGGTGTAATTACTAAATTTTCGTGCCAATCAATGTTATATATTTACTGCAAACAATGCGCTGTTGCATTAATTCTTCGCTTGCAGCGCAGCAATAGACTCTGTGTGGAAACGATCTCTGCACTGCTGCAGACGCACCGCTCCTGAACACCGCCGGACCGCAACCGTGTGCAGTGAACACTTTAATCCATTAACATGTGCACGAAAAAATATGCACCATGACACGTATGCACTGCAAACAGAGTAATGTGAACCTGGCATTATGTGTGTGCGCTGCGAGTGTGCATGAGCGCACAGTCTCCAGAAGAGCGCGCGAGCACTGAATGGTTAAACACGGGGAAGAGTTAAAATTTATGACACTGCCTCAACTGTGCAAATGACAATTCCTGTGTCAACTGTGCAGAGTGCAGCTCGCTTATAGATCGACGCGATGTGTGGTGATTTGAAGCCATTTGCGTATTTTGAGAGAGAAAGAGAGAGAGAGTGCGGTGATTCACTCACTCTGTTTGTGAAATTACGTCTCACACAAGGTTTTCAGATTACTTTATAAGTTATTTAATGAAGAAATATGAAGGTGAGTACCTCACCTTCAGCATTATTATTTATACATAATTATTTCACCTGCTCCGGACAGAGACTGAGACGGTGCCGCTGCATGTCGTGCCAAACCTCTCACGGCAGCATCATCAGCTTGAAATTGTTTTTTTGAGATCGGCCATTTTAGAGACCGCTGATCAAACATCCCAACGTGATTATCGGCCGATAGTGATAGTAGCTGATCAATCGGAACACCCCTAATGTATATATATTATATTTAAAATGACACATTATATTATGTATTATATACTTCTGTGTAAGTCAGTTTGGAGTCAGCAATATTTTTTTGTACTTATTACTTTTTCAGATTTTTTTAAAATACTTTTATTCAGCATGGACATATTAAATCAATAGTGACAGTAAAGACATTTATAATGTTACAATAGATTTCTATTACAAATAAATGATGTGTTTTTGAACTTTCTATTCATCACAGCGATCAATCGGAACACCCCTAATGTATATATATTATATTTAAAATGACACATTATATTATGTATTATATACTTCTGTGTAAGTCAGTTTGGAGTCAGCAATATTTTTTTGTACTTATTACTTTTTCAGATTTTTTTAAATACTTTTATTCAGCATGGACATATTAAATCAATAGTGACAGTAAAGACATTTATAATGTTACAATAGATTTCTATTACAAATAAATGATGTGTTTTTGAACTTTCTATTCATCACAGAATCCTGAAAAAAAAGTATTTCAGCAATAATAAGAAATGTTACTTAAGCACCAAATCAATATATTAAAATCCTTTCTGTTACACTGAAGACTGGAGTATTAGCTGCGGAAAATTCAACTTTGCTATCACTGGAATTTTTATATGTAGAATTTAATATATATGAAAATAGAAAACAGTATTTCATAGTATTACTGTTCTGATACTAACTAGATGTAGCCTCTGTGAGCTTAAGAGACTTCTTTCAAAAACATTAAAAAAAAAAACCTTTTGAATGTTAGTGTATTTATCACTCTTTTTTGCATTAAGTAGAAGCCATTGGGGGGATGCATGGCAGGACGTGTCAAAATGCTAATTACAGTGTTCTGTTTGATGTTTTGATCCTTTAAATCATGCCACAGATATACCGTGTTATAACAAAATCTCTACCCAGTCATACTGCCCAGACCTAGTTACTGGCAGTGCCGTTTGGCTGCCTGGGTTCTTTCTTTTTCTGTCTTGCAGGCGCAGTCTGATATACAGACAGTGGAGTACATCCCCAGACAGTGAGCGTATGCCATGCCTTCACGCTGGGTCTGTGCTGAACACGCGTGCCTGGGCAGAGCGCAGCTAATGTGTTGACTTAAGCCCACGGGGCCTGGCATTGTGTTACGCAGCTGTTTTCTATGTCTGCATGCTAAAGCGCCACTATCCCTATGAAGCAGAACAGCTGGTGCCAAACACAGGCTTCGGGAGTTAGCAAGGGGAAAATATACAGCGCGCACACCACGGCTGCAAAGGGAGGCAATAATGATAGCAGAAGAGAGGAAAATATGAAGTGCAGTGCGCATGGTATCACTAAAGCGGTTTATACTGTTGCCATGGTACACAGAACGTAAATATTATATAAGAAATCTTAACTGCCATCAGGGTGATATACATTGCTTTTTTAAGGATTGACAGTTAAAAGTGTAATAAAGGGGCCCTTAGTCAGCAAGTAGGGCCATCAGGGGCCACACACACACACACACACACAAGTGTACCCTTGAAATGTTTTCTGTGTGGTTGGAGGGCTCCTGTCACACACTGTTGATGGAGCCCCCTTTGACATGTTGGTGGGCATCTCCGTTCCAAAGAGGGGTTACCACAAGAGCAGTCTGATCAGAATAAACTAGATCTTGCCATTAAAGGCATAGTTCATCCAAAAATGAAAACTGTCATCACTTACACACCCTCATGACTTTCACTCTTTTATAGAACACACAAAAAATACATTTTAAAGTATCTTTCAACTGTTGTCCATACAATGGAAGGCAATCCAAAACAACTTTGGCTTCATTTGACTTTTATAATACTGAGACCCCTTTTTCAGAATATCTTCTGTGTTCTACAGAAGAAAGTAAGTGATACAGGTTTGGACATGAATAAATATTGACAATTTTAATTTTTGTGTCAGCTATGCCATTAATGCTAAAGAGGCCAATAAAATGTGCATTGTTTCTTTTTTAAAGGTCTTTCATAGAATTAAACATCCAAGGACTGTTTTCCACTTTCAAAAGTAACTAGCCTCAGGGTGGTTTAAAACTTGGCTGGGCTTCTGTTGGAATTTCCAGACCACCCAATAATGGATATTAATGTTCCTTTCGTTCCTTCTGTCTTGCTTCACACAATCATCAGTAGCTTTCTAGATTCCTCCCATTCACTGATCTGTATGCCTCAGGAGAGAATTTACTCACGAGAACGTCATTGCTTATGGATGGCAGTCATTCTGACACTGTGTCCTAACCATAGCATCAGCAGCATTATGCGTCAAGACTTTGTGACTGTGCTTAGTTCCTATTTTTGTCACGTTATGCCTGGTAGTCCCTCCCACAGTGAAATCTCGTTGGAAAGAAAACTTGCTCCATGTGGTTTTATTTTAAACATAAAATACGTTTTGATTGATTGGCTGATTGATAGTCACTTCGTGCAACTTTAAGACGAGGTGTTATGTACAGTCTTTTGTCAAAACAAGATATCTGCTGACAGTGTTGGTGCTTGGGAGGTATTGCATATGATACACAGATTTTTTTTGACATACACAATGAGTCAGAGACTTTGATGTTGCTTATAAGAGAAGGCTGAAACCTTGAAATGCTGTGCTAGAATCATGTGTGTCCTTTAGTGATGCAGATATGGTGAAACGGCTTTGAATATGCACGAAGGAATTAACCCAAAGCTGTTCAGAATAAGCCATTTATCCTAAACCTTGTTCACTGTACCTGAAAGCACATTGGTTGTATTGGGGTCAGCATAACCTGTTGTATTCCTTGCTTTGAAGATCTTCTGAGGTCTTTCAAAGAGAAATTGAGTCACCCTTTAGCAGAGTAGCTTTGATTGATGAGGTCTTCTGAAGGTTAACGTTGCCTCCACACTTTGTTGGTTTGCATGCCTTTATTTGATGGTACTGGCAAGTCACTTTCTGGCCACGGTTGACGTCCTCAGACAATTATTCGAATTGAATTTGATGGCACATTTTCTACTCAACTCACTCCTTTTTCCTCTTAGTGCTTTCTGTGTTTGACTTTGAGCATAAATACATTAAATTCATCCTTCTGTTTCAATATAGGGCTAATAATTCACTGCTGATATCACTCAGCCACAGCGACTGTCAAAGCCTGAGTCAGTCCACGTTTCATAATAGTCATATAGACAGATGACTCACTTCGCTGATGAATTAGGGTGCAACAGAGGGCTTCTGATGCGTAATGCCATAGCCCTCAGTCACAGCAGATTGAGTGATACGACAGGGTCGAACCATCATAGAACACTCAGAAATAAAAGGCGCACGCATATTGCTTTATTTCATGAGTGAGTAATCGCAATTACTCAGTCACCACGTGTTTGCCACAATCAGTGCAAACATGAAAACATTGGCATTGAGTCAGCATGTTTACATGTCTAACTGCTTTGAAATGCATGATATGCTTGGACTGCTGAACATCAAGTAGTCCTCTGTGCCCTTTGTAGATGCCCTTGACTTTTGCTCTCGTCTAAAACGTGATGGAATCCATCATTCAGAAGAAACCACACAGCTCAATTGTGCAACAATGTGGGGATTTTGGGAGAATGCTGGGAACGGCAGCCTGGCACAGACCACATATCAGCTCTGTTAATCTAGTGATGTTTCCCAGTAAGAAAAGAACATTTGTCTCTCTGTATGTGTACATGTCCAGCGGGACCCATTAATTACTTGCACTGCGAAGCTAAGAAATGACACTGCCATGTTCTCGGCCATGCTTTGTGTGCTTTCTTTCTGTTTGCCCAATGAGTTCATTGGGATGACTGGCTCCTTCCTTCTACAAGCGCACCCACGGCCCATTACAATGCAGATGTTTCCTCCGAGGAGGTCTAGAATACCTGGATAAAGTTGTCTGTTAGCATTCCCATTCATGTCAATGGCAGTTTTTCAGTTGGCACAATTTGAAACTTGACATCTTTGCGTGGGGCATATATGCAAATCGGCATATTGAAAGGATTTCTGAAGAATAACTGAAGAGTTAAGAGTTATTGCTGCAAAAAAAAAATTCAGCTTTGCCATCACTGGAATAAATAACATTTTAAAATATATTAAAATAGAAATGTTATTTAAATTGTAATGATATTTCAAATTTGTACTGTTTTTACTGCATTTTGCAGACTGAATGAGCAAAAGAGACTTCTTTTTGAAACATTAAAAATCTTACAGACCCCAAATTTTGAAAGGTCAAATCGTGTGTGTATCAGTGCTGTCAAATCATTAATAATTTTTTTCTGAAATTAATCGCGATTAATCTCACCTAACATTAAAAATTTTTTATTTACTTTTATATTGCAATAATTTCACATTTAATCTTCAAATTAATGTAGAAACAACAACAACGACAGTATATTTTAAATATTTGTTTAATGGCATCTTATTTATGACTTAAGATGAGTATCACTGATGCCAATACTACTGATGTATCTGAAATAGTTTTTCCTAATATTTAACCATTGACTGGCCAATCAACATTACAGTATAATTGAGAGCTACCAAATTTAACATTTTTTAGACTTAAAAAAATAACTAATTTATCTTAGACTTTAACTAATAATCGAATTTAATATTCACATAAACCCATTATAATTTCATATTTACCTGTGCCCTTCAGCAAGTAGGAAATAAACAGAAATTGAATCAAACACTAAATTTTAAATTAAATATAGTGAATCCTTGTCTGCTTTAAGAGCTGCTACTGCTGCTGCTGAACATGACACAGATCTGACACACATCGTATTTTCTTACAACTCTTTACCTTTTTTGACCCATTTCAGGTTTTAAAGTCTCTACTAATGAGCTGACGAGTTGAATGGGGTGTGTTAGATGAGGGAGACAATGCTGGGGTGGTCCAGGACAGTTTTGAAAACCACTGCATTTCAGAGACATGTTCTTAAATGTGACTCATATATAACAAATACTTGCATTAAACAAAAAAAAATGTAGCGCATGCAAAAGCGTGTTAATTTTGACAGCACTAGTGTGGGTGGGTGTGTGTGTGTGTGTGTGTGTGTGTGTGTGTATATACAGTGGGGAAAAAAAGTATTTAGTCAGTCTTTCATCAAAGATGTCCTAAATCCAAAACAATAACCGTTCTTTTTTTAGGACAACTTTGATGAACTTTTTTGATTAACTTCAAATCTTGACTGCTATGTATATATATACAGTGGGTACGGAAAGTATTCAGACCCCCTTAAATTTTTCACTCTTTGTTATATTGCAGCCATTTGCTAAAATCATTTAAGTTACTTTTTTTTCCTCATTAATGTACACACAGCACCCCATATTGACAGAAAAACACAGAATTGTTGACATTTTTGCAGATTTATTGGATGAGTTCATTAACCCGCTAACTAATTGCTTCAGTTTACTGGTGTCACAGTTCATTTTTTGTTTGAAACAAGATATTTATCTTAAAAAAAAAAAAAAAAACATTGTTTCCTATGGTGTTAATTTTTCTCATATTTTGGTCAATCATCATGATGCTCATTTTTTGTGTAGTTACAACATCTACCAGCAGGGCTTAACAGGTTATGCTAGGCAGCCAAACCTTAACCTCTTAATTTCCTCCAAAACACCTAACACAACTGCTGCTTCAGCCAGAGTTGCTGTGGTGATCGGGACACGTCACAGACGTCAGACGTGACTAACGAGGAGAAACAGAAAGCACAGCCTTTAATGGATAGTGCATTGGCTTATTATGTCAAATGCTGGAGGGGAGGATAGAGAAGTGAGCTTTGGCCGATATGCTCAATTTGTCCAGTTTGAGCGAGGCACAGGGACTCTTAGCAGATGAGTCACAGGCGGATGTGGCAAGAGGGTGTAAGTATGCTTGGCCATGGGGGCTGTCGGCTAATGGGTCTTTGTGAGTGAGCTTGTAAGTGACTCATTAGGCCGTAGTATCCCTCTTATCCTTTTACTCTCATAGGGCGAACAAGGAGAGACGAAGAGAAATCTGCGGCAGCATCTCAATTACTCTGCTAGTGCAGACAAATGCGTCATCACCATTTTAACAATTTTTGAGCCAGTAAGTTTGATTTTCAGTGGAGCTAAAATTTAAAATAAAGTTGCAGGTTGATTTTTGTGAATTCAATTAAAATATAAAATACTTATAGCTAATAAGCTTTAGTTAGAGCCAAGAAATGTGATTTGAAGTGACGTGACGCGTAGGCCAAAGTATGGTGTCACATACTCGGAATTTCTGCTCTGCATTTAACCCATCTAAGTGCACACACACAGCAGCGAGTAGTGAACACACACACACCATAAACACACACCCGGAGCAGTGGGCTGCCATTTTTGCTGTGGCGCCCCTGGAGCAGTTGGGGGTTTGGTATCTTGCTCAAGGGTCTCACCTCAGTTGTAGTATTGAAGGCGGAAGAGAGCTCTGGTTATTCACTCCCCCCACCTACAATCCCTACCGGTACCGAGACTCAATCCTGTGTCCTTTGGGGTACAAGTCCGACCCACTAACCATTAGGCCACGACTGCCTAATGGTTAGAATAGAGTACTTGCTAGGCACAGAGCAACACAATTCATCAGTTTTTGCTTGGTTTTCCTGAAAGAGACAGAACAAGTTTAAATGCACAGAATCAATTTAGTCAAAATGTGTGTACTCTAGCACATTAACACAACCCTAGGTTGCTTCAAAGGTGTACTAGGGAGTCTCCAGGAAATAAAATATTAAAATATCCCATGTACTAGGTGTAATAGGTGCATTTTCTAATTTAGGCACCCTAGGATAGGGCTTTAAATTTCAAAGATTTGTAATGATGGTCATTACGTACTCTTCACCCTCTTAGAGCAAGTCTGAAGTGTTTTATGAGTGCAGCTCCTGCAAGGAGATTTGGAAATTGAGTGCAAATACTTTATCTTTTAGCATTAGTATGTCATGGAGTCTGACGCGCCACAGTGTTTGTGTTAAAACGTAATATGTAAATGGAATGATGTCCTTTTATCAACCCCTCTCTCTGTCTCTCCTAGATGGCGGGCCGTGGGAAGAAAGAGAACAAATGCTCGGTGAAGGCGGTGGAGGAAATGTTGGAGTCCATGCAGATCACCATGTCTTAAACCTCAGCTCTGTCCCCCCTTCCCACAATCTCTGTCACCACAACACCATGGCAGCTCTCCCTGCTCACTAGAGTACACCACCACCACCACCCACAGACCAGACCACCCAACCCAACCACCTCTATATCAGGTCATCCATCTTTGTATTGTTTTGAGGTCTCCGGGTAGGCATTAGACACCCAGAACCAATCCACACAGTTTCTCGATCCAAAAACATTGTAAATGGAATGATGTCCTTTCATCAACCCCTCTCTCTGTCTCTCCTAGATGGCGGGCCGTGGGAAGAAAGAGAACAAATGCTCGGTGAAGGCGGTGGAGGAAATGTTGGAGTCCATGCAGATCACCATGTCTTAAACCTCAGCTCTGTCCCCCCTTCCCACAATCTCTGTCACCACAACACCATGGCAGCTCTCCCTGCTCACTAGAGTACACCACCACCACCACCCACAGACCAGACCACCCAACCCAACCACCTCTATATCAGGTCATCCATCTTTGTATTGTTTTGAGGTCTCCGGGTAGGCATTAGACACCCAGAACCAATCCACACAGTTTCTCGATTCAACCTTCAGCACTCCTTTATTTATTATTAAGAGCTTATCGTTGGGTCGATTGATAGAATCAAATGCGTTTGCGATGGAAGTGACCATGAAAAGGAAAATCTATGTAATGTTTCTAGTTCGGTCAGTTCTTGTAGTTTATAAGGGTTTGATTAGAGAGTAAACTTAGAGAAGATGGAAATGTACTTACTGTATGTGCAAGAAACTGATGTCATGACTGATCTTAGCAAAATAAAGGAACCAGCTGGAAGATCAGCTAAAAATCAGTTTCTTTCTTAGCAAAATAAAAGACTGCATTTTTTGACTAACCATACCAATGTTTTGGTGGGTCTTCATTTATCAATTGTCTGTTTCATGCATTGAAATCCAAGGAGCATTTCTTCTGTCTCGCCTGGTTTTCTTGGAATGTTTTGACTAGTCGTTTTAAATCGCACAACTGGAAGATCAGCTAAGAACCCGTTTCTTTTTCAGCAAAATAAAAGACTGCATTTTTATGACTAACTATAACAATACTTTGGTGGCTCTTCATTGATCAATTATCTGTTTCATGCATAGATTTCAAAGGATAATTTTTTTCTGTCTTGCCATGTTTTCAAGGAATGTTTCGACTTGTTGTTTTCAATCACCCAGCTCAAAAATCTGCTCTTCTCCGTGCCGCTGTAAGCTAATGAGCGGTTAGAAGCCTGTTCAGACCACCCTTGGACCACTGAATGATAATAGCAATAAAGAAAATAATAATCGCCATTACTATGGTCATATTATGTGCCCTCAGAAGACTTCAAGAAGTGATAATGCCCCAGCTTCATGCTACCCCATTGGGCAGCTGCGGGGATCTGCTGAAATACTTAAGAGCAACAGAACTTCCCATTAAAAGAAGGCTGAGCTGCAGGCAGTCTCTCACTCCCGACAATCCGACTGGGACTCGTGCCCTTCAGTTACAGCAAGACAATCAGAAAAGCTCAGGCGGTAATTAAAACAAAAGCACTTTGAATGCATAAATTTGAGTTTTTCTCAAGTGGCAGGAAGGGAAAGATTGAGAGAGGCTGTGAAAAGGAGGTCTGGTTTCCTTCTGCACTCATTTGTAACAGTCACATCGCTTTCGGGACTAAATGAGCGTTATTTTCTCACTCACCCGTGCCGGGTCAGCTGCTACTTCCATCTCTTTTGTTTATTAAGTCGTGGCAATTGTCTCATAATTTCACATGCAGTCCGGTGGAAAAGTTGAGCGTTGACTTTATTGCCTCTCTTTTTTTTTTCCCCCTTGTGGACCGACTGACTTGTTAAGGGGCTTGAAAGCCTGAAGTGGGAGTGGTGAAAGTCATTTACTCATCAGTTTTAATACTTTGGTCAGTGGATGTGTCTGCGTTTGATTTCGCATTCCAAGCTCACAGAACCGACGAAAGCCTGGGGACCGCAGAGGGAGACTGACAGAGCGGTTATTTTTACAGGAACCACTGCATTGAAGTGTAGCTTTTTGAGGAACCATCAAGGATGGTTCATTTGAGAGAGCAGATCATTTACATGTGGATCCTTGTCTCCAAGGCAACTAGGAATGGAAGAAGTCAATGCCCTCTCTTGTAAAGGTCATTAAAGGCTTGTAAGTGGTCTGTAAAAGAACATGTCAATCACTTTGATGTGTGAGTGATGTGCAAGACCCACAAAACTGGCCTTCAACTTAACGCAATAGTGCCATCTGTAGTCAGGAGGGTGTTTTCTTTTCCTCCTCTTTTCCAACTTTTCCTCTTATGTTCCTCTTTTCCAAGTTTAGGAATCTTTTCATGAAAAGTAAGAAGTTTTTAGAAAGAGGAAGTTGAAGAGTCATCCAATTCACACTTGAAAATAATTTGCCAAGATGCTCTGGTGTAACATGAGACATGCTATAATCAGGTAGCAACTATTGCAATTTATGGGAATGTGTTTATATAGTGTTGTTCATCATCAGCACGGAAACAGAGTAAAAACGGCTGCATCTGATTTAGTGTTCCAGTAATCACAGCTCTAATTTCTGCGGTGCCTTCTTAGGAAGATGGAAAATCAGCTGAACCAGACTCTCCTTCATGCCAAAAAGGTCCAACAGCTGGAGCATTTAAATGCTATGCCATTGAGGTCAAAGACAAAGCACTGTGGATTAGTTGTTCATGTTATTTCTAATTCCTTTAGATTATGTCACAGCTCAACTTTAGATCTACGCCGGAACAGCAAGCTTGTGAATTGGTCCACTGATCTATTATGTATGGACGCAGTTTCCACCTCAAGAGTAAAAATTGTAAAGGTAATTGCATCCTATTTTACAAATACAACTTTGTTTCTCATAATTGAATTTATATTTCACATCACTTTATATCTCGCAATGAGATTGTTTCTTGCACTTGCAACTTTTTCTTGTAAATTGGAGCTTTAAATATCACAATGTGACTTTGCAATATGACTTTAAATATTGCATCATGACCATATCTCATAAACCTCATATTCTCAAAAATGTGACTATATTTTGTCTCGCAATTGCGACTTTCTCATATTTTTTACTTTATATCTCGCAATTTTGACATGCTCAACTTCTCATAATTGTGATATTACATTTCACAATGTGACTTCTAAAAATATGAATTACATTTGCAACTTTCTTTCCTTGTGATTGTCACTATATCTTGCAATTGTGACCTTTTTTGCAACTCTCACAATGTGACTTAGTATCTTGCTTGTATGACATTATATATCATAATTTCATATCTCACAATTAAAACATTTCTGGTTTATGCCTGCTCATAATTCAGTGTAAAGAGGTAATGCTGCATTGATGTCAGACTAAATGATGCCTTTTTTCAGCCCCTAGTATCAAAGTATACCGTTGCAGTTGCTTTGTAAATGCATTTATGCCACCTCTAAGCAGCATTAAACAGTCATGTGTAAACAGGGGCGCCGCTAGCAATTTTGGGCCCTATGAAAGAATATGAGGTTGGGCCCCCTACCGCACCAAACATACACTAAATTGCCAAAAGTATTGGGACACCCCCTTCTAATGAACAGGTTTGACTACTTTAGTAATTTCCATGAGTACAAATCTTAATGTTTAAGCATAGAATGATATTCTAGGGAACTGTGTGCTTCTAATTTTATACCAATAGTTTGAACAGGACCATTTTCTATTCTAACACGACAATGCCTCTGTGTATAAGGCAAGGTTTAAA